TATGCATGTGTATGTATATATACATTTATATGTGTGTATGTGTGTGTGTGTGTGTGTATTCGAGATCTCTGGGAAAGAGAAAGGGCTATAAATGCTGGCTAAGCCTCCACTAGGAAAGAGCCCTCCTCTATTAAACATTAACCTGGGAGAGGGCAACAGGCCTGCTCTGATTTCCAGGCATGGGCTCCCTTTTTCTTCCCTTTGACTTAGGTAAAGAAGAGGATTTTCTGGAAGCTTTGATCAGGAAAGGAGGGGCTAAGGGGAGGGTCAGAGAGAAGGAAACTCAGAGATCATTTTCCTGCTTAGAAACCAGGGCTGGTCCCTCAAGGAGGGGTAGGAGAATGACAAAGCCTAGGAAAGAGTCTAGGTTTAAAGCTGGAAGCCCTTCCCTGGCCAGGCCTTCTCCCCACCCCCAGTGTCCCTCCCCTCTCCTGAGAGCTGGCCCTGGCTGGTTAGGACAAGTGAGGAGCCAGACAGCTGCTGGCAGGGGGTGGATGTGAGCCCTTTGCCACGCCCCCTCCTATCAGAGCGGCCGGGGAGCTTTGGCCTCAAGCTGGTTGAGACTACGTCTCTAACTCCCTCCTGTCTCAGCTTCGGTCCTCAGGGAGAATCTCCCGTGCACCCACCCTTGATATGGTAAGGGCCCCATGCTGGGAGGGGCAGGGGGTCACTGGGGAAGCAGCTGCCCAAATCGCAGGACTGACTGAGGCACCAGATTCATGTGTGTCCGGGGCAGAGCCATTGAGGGCTGGGAGAGGAGGCAGAACACCCCAGTCCCTCGGCTAATGGACAGCTTGCTTCCTCCCTGCAGACAGCTCCTAGGAAGGGGGGGGGGGGGGGAGAAGTGGGGCAAATAGGGTTCCTGAAAGGAATATCTCTCCTCCTGGCATCAGGCAGAGAAACACCTTCCATCCGGAGGGGCCAGAGACCCCTGACAGGCCAGCTGGGAGGTGGAGAAAGCTTAGGTCCAAGGGGAAAGATGGCAAAGCACGCCAAGACTGAATCCATGTTCCTGTGACAGATCGATAGGGAAAGGATTTGTTAAACAACTATAAGGTGCAGAGTGGTACTGTCAACCCAGAATAAGAAACAAAAAGGCAGGGGTCTAGGGTTCAAATCCCAGCTCTGCTTCTTATTACTTCCATGACCTTAAGTATCTCAACCTCTCTCTGGGTCTCAGTTTCCTCATCTGTCAAATGAGAGGGATCAGACTGAAAACAAGGTCCCTTCCACCTCTAAATCTTCAATCCCAAAGGATATTTTTGGGGAGGCGGAGGAAAGCAGCAGACGTTGGCCTCCCAAAGGCATGGGTTTCTGAGAGAGGGAGGGAGGGTCAGTATCTCTGTAAACCTGGTGTAAATGTGCAGCCGTTGGTGCAGGAAGAGTCAGCTGTGAGATGTTTGCCTGGGTGGCTTTGCGATGAACCAGCCTCAGTGGTGTAGGATGGTGTTTCCACACTGGGATCCGTTTCAACCTCATCTATGCCATGTTCTAGTTCAGAGACTGGTGGAGTAAAATGGGCGGGGGAGGCAGGAAGCAGGAATGGACTTAGGAAGCCAGAGAGAGGTCCACACCTGCAGAAGGGGCCAGCCTTGCAAACAGGCATTTGCTTGCTCAGTTTGAGCCAAAAGGTTTAATTGGAACGAAATGAACCTTAGAGACAATTTAGCAAAGCCTTAGCAAAGGGAGGGAAGAAGAGATGGAGGTAGGGGGTGGAGGGGAGGGTGGTCATTTTCCCTCCAGCCTTTCACAGTCCAGGATGCTGGACTAGGTGAATCTCCCTCCGATTCTCTTTGCAAATGTCGTCGCGTCCCAATCCTTTGACCTGAAGGTCGGAAGGTATTTGTGTTGGGAGGCTACCAAATCTGGGCCTCTGGTGGGAGTGAGACAGAAGAGGTGGAGCTGAAGAAAAGAGATCACACCCCTTCCAGGGCCATCCCTGAGCCCTGCCTCCCCACCCCCACTCCCACCCTCCCCAGACCAGACAGCAGATATTAAGCTTCAGCCTGACGTCTGGTTGCCAAGATACTTGGATGGAGCTTATCAGCCAGCCTGAAAGGGCAGGGGTGATGGTTTCTAGATCTGTGTTTACTCTGAAGCTTTCCTCCCACCATGGTGTGCCACCATCTCAGCAGCTATCCAATAGGAAAAGGAGGAGGGGAGTGGAGAGAAGGATAATTCAATTCGACAAACATTTACTGTTCACCAGCTATGTGCAAGGCACTGTGGGGATTAGAGACTGGCAGGGCACAATCCCTGTTGTGATGTTTACAGTCTAGTGGAGATGGTATGACTTCTCCTGTCTGTTCAAATCCTATGAGGTTCATCTCAAGCCCTATCTCCCTGAGGAAGTCTTCCTTGATAACTCCAGCCATCACTGATCCCTCCTCTCCCTGAAGACCCCCTCCCACCCCCACTGTCTATAGGATACATCTAGGCATGTTGTTTTATCCCCATTTAACTCTGTCCTTCCTTAGTATGCTCATTGATCTTCTGTTTTCTATGTCCAATACATTATAAGCTCTTTGAAGACTGGAACAGTCGCTTCTATACTTTCTTTGCCACTCACATGGGGACAGTAACTGGGAGCATACATGGTGCCTGCAAAGAACACCAGACTTGGAGTCAGAGTACCTGGCTCTGATACTTTGTCATTCAGTTGTTTTTCAGTCATGTCTGACTCTTTGTGGCCCCATTTGGGGTTTTCTTGGCATAGATACTGCAGTAGTTTGCCATTTCCTTCTCCAGCTCATTTTACAGATGAGGAAACTGAGGCAAATTGGGTTAAGTGACTTGCCCAGGGTAGGTGCTGTTATAATCCCCATTTTACAGTTGAGCAAAACTCAGGCAGAAGCACAGTGACTTACCCAGGGTCATACAACCTAAGCCTGGATTTGAACACGTCTCCCTGACTCCAGGCCCGGGGCTCTATCCCCTGGGCCACCTAGCTGCCTCTAGCTTGCCTTGCCCCTTAACCTCTGTTAGCCTCAGTTTCCTCATCTCTAAAATGGAGAGTGTGTGAGGGAGAGGTTGATCCTGTGATGTAAGACTCACATATTAATTTGTTCTGCTCAACTGATCAGTGGGAGAGGAAGGTGGTATGTGATCCTGAATCAGTCACTGTCCTCACTAGATTTCTCTGGGCCTCAGTTTCCCCATCTGTAATGGGGGGTAGACTAAATGGGCCCCAAGATCCTCCTCCACCTGTGGGCCATCCAGAGCCCCCTCCTTCCCTGAGTGTTTTTGCCATCTCTCATTTGAATCTTGCTTCCCCCGGCTTCTTAGAAGAGCCCTTTCATTTGGGGGTGGGGGTAAAGGGTACGGTGCAGTGGGAGTCCTTATTGAGCTAGGATTCTTGCTACTCTCCTAAGAAGGAAACAGAGGCAGGGCAGGAGGTGGAAAGTGACCTGCCCAAGGGGACCCAGAGGGTGAAGATACCTCAAGTTCCCCCACAAGAGGACCCCATTGAAGGCGACATGATAGCTGACCAAAATAGATAGAGGGCTGCCAGGGAGACCTCAGAAGGCTGAATGGGAAGCAACAGGTGGAAATGGTGGAGAACCAAATTTCAGCTCAGTGTAAAAAAATATATATATTCGAGACATCCTAAAGTCTAAGAGATGTGAGATAGTAAGCTCCTCGTCACTTCCCAAGGATGCCTGGATAGCCACTTGACGGGAGGCAGCATTGTAGAGGGGATTTCTGTCCAGGACTAGGCTCAATGACCTTAGAAGGCCTGTAAAGGTCTCAAAGCCAATCAGCAGATGGTCCAGGAGAAGCCCCCAGGCCCTCTAGCCCCCAGCCCCATCCTCCATCAGCCCTGTTCTTTCCAGTTTTGTAAATTCCTGAAGAACCTGGCACAGCGATTTCAATGGCGAAGGGAACTCCCAAGTGAGGAAACCGCCTCCACTGGTGCAGGTCAAACCTTCTTGGTAACTTAAGAGTCGCAGAGGGGCAGCTAGGTGGCTCAATGGATAGAGCCCCAGCCCTGAGGTCAGGAGGACTTGAGTTCAAATGCGGCCTCAGACCAAACACTTGACACTTACTAGCTGTGTGACCCTGGGCAAGTCACTTAACCCCAATTGCCTAAAAAAAAACATCACAGAGAATTGCATAGGCCACAAAGTGGTTGTGTATTGCCTCACAATCCCCCAGACAGTATGCTCCACTTGGGGATGGGAGCAGGCAGCCAGGCTGCATTCCCCCCGAGCCGTGCTTCTGATTCTCTGGATGTCATCTGGAAGATCCAGCTACCTTCTCACCCTGGAGCATTTCTCCTCGGTGCCAGCTCCTTCTGAGGGGCCTTCATTTGGGGGACAGGCCCAGGCTGGCCATGCTCCCTTCCCCTGCCCTCTCCCCTGTCCTCAGATCCCTGTTGTCATTAGAATGTAAGCTCCCTGAGGGCAGGGACTCTCTACCCACCACACCGCACTGTCATCTATACTAGGCATTATAGCGCCCGTTTTTTCCTCTCAGGCAGGAAAAGTCCACAGACTGAGCGCTGAAGAGAGAGACCAGCTGCTGCCCAACCTGCGGGCCGTGGGCTGGAATGAGCTGGAGGGCCGAGACGCCATCTTCAAACAGTTCCACTTCAAAGATTTCAACCGGGTATGGAACCAAGGGCCTGGTGGGAGAGAGCATTCTCGGGTCACCCCCAAATTCATCTTAAGGAGTGTTCATTAGGAAGCTAAGGAGTCGCCCCGGGCCAGGAATGCTTCCCGGTCATAGGGGCCCTTCAGGGGAGCTCTTGGAGGCCTTTGCTAACCCACTTTGAGAAGGCTGATGGGAAAAAACAGGGTTGGTGGGCCTTGCCCACAGAGGTAACTCAAGGGAGACTGGGTAATTCAGTCTCTAATGAAAACAGCAATTAACATTTAGATAGCCCTTTAAGGTTTGCAAAACACTTAGTTGATCCTCGACAACCTTGTAAAGTGGGTTCTATTATTAGCCCCCTTTAACAAATCAGGAAACTGAGGCAGGCAGAGGCTGTGACTCACCCAGGGTGACACAGCAAGCCTGATTCCAACTGGTCTTCCTGACTCCAAGCCCAGCACTCTATCCACTGCACCACCCAGCTGCCCATCACAGAGGCGTAGGCTGGGATTTCCCCCCATCACTCTGTCCTAGCCTTTCTGGGGTTTCCACCTCAGGTGAAAAGGATTGGTGATGTTTCCTCTTCAGTAGATAAGAGGAAAGCTAGTACATTAAACCTAGTCTATTACAGCCAAAGGCTCCTTAGAGCTGGGATACCCAGCCCATCTCCCCGCCTCTGGGGAGGTGACCCTTGTCGGACCACTTATTTGTTCATTCCCATGCCATGGTTACAAGTCTAGCTGGGCTCTGTTCTCCCTCCCCTAGGCCTTTGGGTTCATGACAAGAGTCGCCCTGCAGGCTGAAAAACTGGACCACCACCCTGAATGGTTCAATGTGTACAACAAGGTGAGCTGGGCTCCTACCCACCCCTAGTCAGAGCCTGGACCACCTTTAGAGCCGTCCTTGACCTCCTCAGCCCACTCATAGCTCTCCCCTCCCCACGTGGGATTTCACTCCGAATTAGAACACTGTTTCTGTTTTGCTTCCTGTGTTTTTTCTTCCTAACTAGACTGAACTCTGTGAAAGCAGAGACTTCTACTCCGTTACCTTTAAAAACTGATTCTGGATATCCCAGTGCTGGGCACATAGTAGGTGCTCAAGATTTTTTTTTTTTTAATCTGGGCCTGATTTCATAGCATAGGATACTCCAGGCATGGAAATGCCTTTCACTAATGCAGATCAGCAACTCATATGCTACATATCATCTCAGAGCTGCCTAGGGGCATGGTTGACTGGCCTATAATCAGTCACACAGCTCGTATCATCCTTGTACCCCCAGCACCCAGCGCGGCACCTGGCAGAGAGTAGTGCTTAATACTTATTGACTCGAACCCAGACCTTGACTCCAAAGCTAGCATCCCAGGTTATATTTCCCTCAATACTGACTGGGTGACAAAATGACACCCAAAGTTCCCCTAGTGAGTAAGCCGCAGGAATGGAATTCAGTCGAATTGTAAGAATCCTTCCTAAGAGGCCTTGATGAAGCGTGCTGTTTTTCAGTTCTGATCTCCTTCCTCTCCCCCACCCTCTCAAGCTCTCCATCATAACCTATTTGTACCCATTCCTTGTTTAGATGTTATCTTCCTGTAGACAACTGGCAGCCACATTAGGGGAAAGGTCCGGGTCTCTGTCTGGCACTTGCCCGTTGGTTTGATGCTAACTATGGCAACAGAGAGTGCCCAATACCCAAGGCGCCCTTGGCTGTGCTCATCATAGTGGGAATGGTTAAAACAGTCAACACAAAGCGCATTAAAAACCAGAGAGGAGATACAGCAAAGGATTTATTAGCTCTATCTTTCTTTTTACAGGCTTGAGAATAGCTGTCTAAAGCAAGCCAGTCCAAAAGTAGCAGGTGCTCCTGAGTCCCAGGGGCGGGTTGGTGGGCTACCATCTTTTACAACGAGTTTAGTTGAGACCCATAGAACACTGGGCACATACACATCTCCTGCATTCAGAGCGGTTGTACACGTGGTAACTTCGACTTGGAATGAATCAGCCTTTGGTCTCTGGTTTTATTTTTCAGGTCCATATCACCCTGAGTACCCACGAGTGTGCTGGCCTGTCGGAGAGGGACATTAACCTGGCCAGTTTCATTGAACAGGTGGCTGTGTCACTGGCTTAGACCTTCTCACTCTCCCTCCCTCCACCGTCCCTTCCACTTGCTGCTCTAGAAGGGTGAGGGTTTTAGGGGGACACAGGAAACCCTGGACAATGAATAGATCAGACTCGATGGTTGTAAGGGAGCAGGTGGGAAATGGACACGGGGCAGCATGTACACTGTGAAATATTCCCTTGCTCTCAGCACCAGACCCTGTCATCTTCTCCCACTGCCTAGCCTCACCCTGTGCTGTGTGCAGAAATTGTGCCAAGTCCAATGTAAGGCAGCTAGATGGTTGGGTCCAGGGGCAGCCAGGTTTTCCTCCCTTCTTGTATCCCGTGAGTGCAACAGTGAAGTGATGATTTCCTCCTTCTGGTCTGTTTAACATTTCACCATAAGCCATTGAAATATAACTAGGAGTCAACTAACAATGTCCTGTCCACTGTAACTCAGAGATGGGACCCTTAAGGAAAAATCCAATTGTAGTGGACAAACATGACCTCAAACCTCAAATAAAGCTACCTGTGACGTACTTGGTCTCGAGAGCTCTGTCGTCTGCCTTGCTGGAGGTGGAGCCAAATAGGGTCAACGCTTAGTTTTAGATGACCCCCATGAAGGGTCTTTTCCAGGACACTCAGTCCTTCATTCTCATTAGCAGAAGTAAAAAAGGTGAGCTAGGAAAGTCATCACTCCGGAAGCAGGGCCTTTGAGAAGAGGCTTGCTGAACTTCCTCTATCACAACCAACTGCTACAAGTGTCTTTCCTCCTGGGGCATCCTGGGCTCTTGGGCTCTGGGACAGATCGTACTCAGGCTCCTTCCCCAGGCATAATGGCACCCAATCCTCAGTCCCCATCGGCTCACTCTGACTTGCTCTCTGCTGGGCAGACAAAGAGATGGGGTTCAGCCAGGCTGTGAGGACTAAGAGCCCTGGGTCAGAGTCCATCCTCTCCACCAAATGGGCGATCTGAGACAACTCACTTTATGTGGCTGAGCCTCAGATTGTCCTCTAAAAGGAGGCGGCTGCACTAGCTGAGGACTGAGGTCCCTTTCAGCTCGGGCTTGCTGTGCCCAGGGCATGGCTCCTCTAAAGGACTGGGTCTCAGTTCGCTCAGTCTACCTGGTGATGACGAAGTGGGAAAGGAGACTAGGGCCAGGGAGGAAACAGCAATAAACCAGCGGCAGGCGTGGGACGATTTGTTCCAGCCGAGCAGTCGGGTAGGTCCGTTTCCACGGGCCAGTGCCCTTTCTCCGGAGAACGCTGTTCATGCACCACTCCCCTGAACTCTAACTGGCCGTTTCCAAAGTCTGGCTGGACTCACAAATGCCAAGCACCTTGATGGAGTTTCTCCTTCCAGGGCCGAAAGAGAGATGGTGCAAAAGAAGAAGAGAAAGGGAGCTGCTAGGCTCTGCACCCAGAGCTTCCACCCTGCCTTGAGCTCCTATGGTTGTGCTAAGTGAAGACTATTCCCACGTTGGGGCAGCCAGATAGAGGGCCCAGGCCTGGAGTCAGGAAGACTCCTTTTCCTGAGTTCAGATCTGGTCTCAGACACTTACTGTGTCACCCTGTTTGCCTCAGTTTCCTCATCTGTAAAATGAGCTAGAGAAGGAAACGGCAAACCCCTACAGTATCTCTGTCAAGAAAACCCAAAATGGAGTCACCAAGAATTGGATATGACTGAAACAACTAAACAACAAAATTCCCCCGTCACTGCGCAAGGAAAAAAGACCTTAGTAGTCCCACTGTGTTCTCTGATTTTGCTTCCCGAGACTGTGGCCTGCTGAGGGCCAACTCCTGATGGCAAAATGGAGCTGGATTGCCCCTGCCATCCCACTGCCCCATCTGAAACCTGTTCCTGGGAGATAAGGGCGGTGGGAAATGCCCACCAAGAAAGCACTAGTGTTCAGGATAGATTGTGGCATTAAAAGATTCTATTTTGGGGACAGCTAGGTGACACAGGGGATAGAGCTCCAGCCTTGGAGTCAGGAGGACCTGAATTCAAATCTGACCTCAGACACTTAACACTTACTAGCAACCCTGGGCAAGTCACTTCACCCTGATTGCTTCACCAAAAAGAAAAAAAAAAGATTCTATTTCTAGAAAGGTAACTGCTAAAAGATAACAGGACTTAGAAATAAAGAAGTTTATTCCACAATTAATCCAAATAATGGGAATGACAGGCCTGAAGAGGAGACTCAGTGGGGGAGGGGATAGAGGAAGTGTTTAATCACTGCTGAGTTTCAAGAAGAAATAAGGCTGTGAAGTGTTCAAAACAAGGTGAGGGCATGGAAACTTATGCACGGTTTACAGAGGTTAGGGCTGGTGGATAAGGATGCCACATGATTTGTCCCTCCTCTTTTCTCCCTCTATCCTACTCCCCTAGTGTGATCTCACTAGCTCCCAGAGGCTCCATCACCATCTCAACACTGAGGATTCTCAATATTTATCTCTACAGACCTCCAGGTCTGTCTCTCCAACTGCCTTTCAGACATCTCAAATAGATGTCCAGTAAATACCTTAAACTCAACACGCCTCAAACTGAACTTATTGTCTTCTCTCCCATCCACCCCTGAACCCTCCCCAAATTTCTCAATTTCCTATTACTATCAAGGTCTCTCAACCCCACCCAGCCAATGTGTGGCCAAGGCCCCTCGATTTTACCTTTCTAACATTTCCTGTACTCGCTTCTTCTCCCTTGATTCTGCCCCCACTCTAGGCCAGGCCCTCATCACCTCATACCTGCACTCTTTTAATAGCCTGCTGATAGATCTACCTGCCTTTCCACTCTTACCCCAAGGTATGGAGTGTATGGGGCGTTCAGGACTAGCACCTCTGATGTGAGGGCTGCTGAGCCCTTCTCAAGGCTGCTCATCCACTTTCAGTATCCACCTGTCACCCAACTCTCACCTGTGGCTCCAAAAGGCTGGAGTCCCCTAAGTGGCCACACCCTGGTAAACTCCCAGCAACGGGCCAAACCCAGGCTGAAGGTAATCGACAGGCCTCAAACTGTCAGGTGAGTTAGGGGGGTGTCTACCCCAAGCATGTCAAGACTTCCCCTGGAGGAATGGGTGGATGAGAACAATTTGTTCCAAGACCGTGAAGGCGGCTGAAGCAGGCGCTGTGGAGAGCTTAGAGCTTGGTCAAGCATTGAAGACGCCAAGGTCATCCACTGCATCCCGAGCCATCATCAGTCATCCTGACTTTGGTCTTGCCCCTGGACTTGGATGACACTGAAAGGGGGAGTGAGGCTGAGGACCATGCAACTTTGCCTCAGATGCAGTTCACTAATGAGCCAATGATGTCTTTGGTCTTTGAAAATACAGGACGAACAACAATCACCTGCCTTAAGTCCCTCTTCCTCAGCCGTCCAAGTCATTTTCCCAAAGCCCAGGTCTCACCGTCTGCCTGTCTGTCTCTGTCACACACACACACACACACACACACACACACACACACACACACACACACACACACACACACACACAAAGTTCCAATGCCTCCCTGTGTTACCTGCAGGATAAAATATAACATCCTGATTGTCATTCCCAGCCTCCACTTCTTCAGTCCTCCTACACCCTACAGAATATGGTGACTATGGCCTACTGGCTGTTTCTTTCACAAGACTCCTCCTTCTCCCAACTGCAGACATTTTCCTGGCTGTCCCCCAGGCCTGGAATTCTCTCCCTCTTTCTCTCTGCTTCCTGGCTTCCATCAAGCCCCAGCTAAAACTCTATCTTCTACAAGGAACCTTTCTTGCTTCCCCCTTTTAACGTCAGTGCCCTCCCTCTCTTATTTAGCATGTATTTCTTGTTTTTACAGAGCTGTTAGCACGCTGTTTCCTCCAGGGGACAATGAGCTTCTAGAGAACACACACTGTCTCCTGCCTTTCTTTCTATCCCCAGTCCCTGGCACACAATAAGTGCTTAATAAATGTTTATGGACTAATTTTATGGCTTTGTCAGAAAAGGCCTTATACATTAGTTTGTTACCACTAGGGGAGGATAGTTCCCTTTCTGTCTGCTTTGGACAATCATGACAAAGAGCAAAGCATTCATCTTTTAACAAAAAGAGAAGCTACCACCACCACCACCACGCCAATCCTTGAATGAACCCGAATTTACTAATCCCCAGACAAGGAAGTGTATCATTGATGGAGCAGCCTTAGCCTCTTTTAGCACGGCCAAGGCTATTCTGAGGCCAAGCCGATGGGATTCCAGAGGAGCTGAAACCCAACTAAAAAAAAAGATGGTTTGCCTAAGTCAGCCTGACTCCTGCATGTCCAGTTTTTAGAATACTTTTTATTTCTAATTCCTGTCCGGAACATTATGTGACACCATGCTCAAAACTCTACCGTCACCACCACCTACCACCTCCCAGAAAGGGATGCTGGGACTGAAACCTTCTTGCCCTTTCCAAGACCAGAGTCCCATCACCAAGCCAGACAGAGAGCCAAATGAAGACTGTTTCATTATGCCATAGGCTTAGGCCAAGGAGACATTCCGGACCCTGACAACTTAAGTGGCAAGGACCTGCCTGGGAACCAGGAGTAGGATTCTCATCCTCTCTAAAATAGGCATCTCCAACATCTCTGGGGTCTCCTTCAGAGGGTGTGAGAATGAGTACCCAAACACTGGTCAAAGTGCCAGGGAATAAGTGCTGTGCGGGCCTGCATGTTATTACTCATCACAAGTGAAAGGATTCTAGCTCAGCGCCAGCATCCCTTCCCGACGATGGCGGTCCCCATCCAACGGCCAATGCCAGGGTTTTGGACCAAGGTCCAGTGTTGACATCAATGCCACTACCTCCTGAGAGACCGCCCAGCTGCAGTCCCATCAGAAGTGATGCCTCCCATCCTGCAATCTTCTGACACCTGTGTTGGGATTATAAATGACTCCAGTCTTCCACAGTGATGAAGGTTTTAGAAGTTTAATTGTTTTTCAAGGTTACTACTGCAGCATGGCAGCGAGGTCAGAGAGGAGAAGGGAGAGGGGAGGGTAAGAGGGGAAAGTACCATCAATTTTCAGATTATGAGGCTGAAAACAGTATTAAGAGTGAGTTGATAGTCAATGGCTCACATGGCTACTTCTCTACCAGCAAGAGAAAGAAGAAATGAGAGAGCAAACCGAGGGCAGAGCCACTTGACTTGCCCTGGCCGTTGACCGGCTCACACACACCATCACAGTACAATTACATATCAGCCAGAAGAGAGAAGGGAAGAAACTTGAGAAAAGAATGAAACCTGGAATTAAGGCTGCATCAGGACTGACGACTAGCGCGGCTCTCAGAGCCATGGGGACGTGGTCTGCTCCAGAGTGAGCGAAGGGCGAGGACCACCTCTGCACCTGGCAGCCAACAGCAGAGCAGGGGCGCCTGCTGCCTGCTCCCAGGGCCCTGGATCCCCAAGAACACCTGAGACCCAAGGACAGTTCCTGTCATTTCCAGACTACTGGCACCATCACAAAGCGGCGCCTTACGCGGAGTAATTAAATGGGTCAGAGGGATGGCTGATGAAGAAAATGAAGCATGTGATTCT